TAAAAAACAATTATCATATTTTTTTACTGGCAAATGAGGTTCCAATGGTGTAAATGCTTACCCGAGCTCTCATACTCTGATGGTGCATTGTTCCTTGAGTATACATTACCAAAATTCGTAAATATTTGCCTTTAAAAAACTAAATATAACCAACCATAATATGTGTTGAATATTATGGTTGGTTACCATCTTTTTTTCACATTCCTGCATATACAAGGCGTGTAAAGCTCACAGAAAAGTCACGTCGGTTGAAGTTTTGTCCTTTACTTTTATTGTTTTGGTTCGAATACTGTATTTCACAATGAATTGCCTTCGGAAATTGCACGAGCAAGGCACATAATGAATAACACAAGTGGAGCAAATAAGTAAACATGCTGATATATCAAGAAAAAAAGTGGGATTTTCTTTTTTTTCTGCTAAACATTCTGGAAGAAATAATGGCAGCACCTTGGCATGCAAAACTGCATTTATACTTTCTTTAATAAATGGCAGAAAAACAGTGCAAAATATAGTCCAAAAAGGAAATAGCACCATAAAAAGGTGGCGTGCACTGCCTGGAGTGTTATAATGAACCACTTCTGACTCAAGTTTGCATCGTGCAATTGTTACATTTACAACAGAAAACAAACTGCATCTCTGCTATAATGAACATTTAAATGGTTCACAAAAACATTGCCACACTGCTTTAGAACAGAAACATACACAATGGGCTGACATTTAGGATTATTAATATTTTTTTATTTTGATTGTCGTCCAACGCTCATCTTCATCAGCAGCGTGGAGGGAGGGTCCCGAGACCCAGTCGAGTCCTGTCGGGGGGATGGCTTCACCACACCAAGGCTGGTATGGCACCTCATGAAGCTGGGCCCCATAGCCCGTGTGGAAGGTTGAAGCCAGTAAGGTGAATGGTTGGGAGTTGGCGATTAGGAAGTGGTTCTTGATGTCGGTGACATTTCAGATAATGGCCACTTACGAGCAAATAAGAAAGAAGGGCCATCGTGCAAAGTGTCACCCGACTATATATATTTTATTTGGTAGTATGAATTATTAATACAGTATATGTAGTTTTGGCTTATGCTTGTGAACAACTGCGATTGCAGTCTCTTAATAATGTTTAAGTGAAATGGTAAATACTCATGATTTCAGCCAGGGCTTAATTTATCCAGGAATTCATCTTCTTGGTTTTTCGGTAAAGTCACGTAGAATGGAAATAATAAAATAATAAAAAAAAACAATAAATAATTCTCACGACGTTTCGGCCACAACGCAAGCAGCCGTCCTCAGGTGGAGAACATGTCTGTCGAGAAGACAGAGTCTGAAACCATTCAGAGTCTGAAACCATTCAGACTCTGTCTTCTCGACAGAGCTGTTCTCCACCTGAGGACGGCTGCTTGCGTTGTGGCCGAAACGTCGTGAGAATTATTTTATTATGTTTTATTTTTATTATTTTATTATTTCCATTCTACGTGACTTTACCGAAAGAACCAAGAAGATTAATCCCTGCAGTCACGAAAGCTTTAATCGAAAAATTGTCCAGGAATATTTTCCTGGACCTCCAAGCTCACAATCTTCTGTGCCTCGACCCAGTGAAATAGCCTGAGACAGATCCAGTTGATATCAAGCCCTGGTATTAACTCCAAAGCAATGCAAATGTTTTGCCAAACATAATTTTCCAATTCAGCTTTCATGTGATTCAACATGCTAAACTTGTTTTTTTATATAAAGGATGATTCAACAATTCTGCTATATCTTTGTGTAACTCTGTTGTAGTAATGTCATTTGAAAATGTAAATAATCATATTAGACATGATGCTGAACACATTAAAATAAGAACAATTGTAACACGTTTGGAATATAACACAAACATGCAGCCCTTGCACTGTTTCAAAAGACAAACACAAAAACTACACGAGTTTTGTTATTTTAAATACATTGTATGTAGAAAAACAAGCTCAACTTTTAACACCAAATGGTCGTCAATACTGTGCACTGCCATGTGCTCAAAATCGTCAAGACACTCAAGGCATTACAAGGTTGTATTTCAAGCTTGAGCAGAGAATGGAGCAGCTTCACAGCCGCAGTCCATGTGCCAAGTGAGACAGCTGCAGTTTATAATTCGTGAAGCGACAGGATTAAAAAAAATCATATTTGTTGCACTCCAGCGTCATGAACAAAGGGCCTACAATGCCGTTAACGTTTTGAAATATTACTGTGAAAGAACACATCCAATTGATAATACAAACACATTGGATTTTAATACTATATCATATAAATCAGGTGCACCTCAAACGGATAATTCGCCAGATAATGGTTGCAATACCTTGCTTAATGTTCCACGCATATGAGTTATTCCAAGGCTTACGCTTAGTACAGCATTGACTGTAAACCTTAGACGTATGACATGACACATTTGTCCTGTGGTTCCATTACAATTTTGTAAGGCACGAGGTATCAAGAGGTATGATTCACCAATTGAGGAGTGCTCAATTTTGCTCCTCAATTTATATGCTGTTGAGATAACCCACGCTCAATTCATGGGAAACGATAATCCACTTCTAGTTTAGTGAATGATCTTCCCAAAGGTGTTGAAAACCTAAATCAACTTTTTCATCCCTTTAACCTGCCGACACTCAACAAAAGCCTCGCGTTTAAGTAATTCAATTGTTTGGGTGGTCAAGTTTTTCCGAGGGCACTGCTCAGTTGTCACGTTGAGAGCTTACAACTCAATTCCAGAAGATTCTTTTCTTATCATTGTGGTGAACGTAACAGCCACCAGTGGCTGTAAGGGTCACGTGAACCCATTGCAAAACATGAGTCCTACAACATTCGTACGCGTGCAATTCGACACACATCTTGAGCTTAAGAATCAATATTAAACGATGAATTGTTGCATCATTCAATCTCGATGCGCTATGTCACTGTAAACATGCTGACTTGTTCCTGCACTTTACCTTCGGCTGTGGCGTAGCATCATCTAATTTTTCTGTCGCTCCATATTGGAATGGAACGAAGACAGCACCATATTTTAGTAACTCATTGTGGAACTGGACTATCCCTTGGTGCTTTGACCAGTACAGCACCGATTAAAACAAGGCCTGTGTCTTCAGGAATGTACAACTCTCACCTTGCAAAGGGTCGTGGTAGGCTGCGGGCCAGTCACACGCGAGTATATTTGTGATGTCAGCATTTTTTTTTGTCTATGACTCAAGTGTGCCGTAAATGTTCCATCGCAACACATTTAATTGATTTATTTTGAAAATCCCTTGCGATCAAAAGTACCTGTACGTCATTGACTTTTTACCTTACGCTGGTCCATAAATTTTCATGTCTTCAAATTGTAGTGTTAAACATAAAAAACATCGTAAAATACCGATTAAAGACAAAAAATAAAATCTGCACCACTAATGGGTAGTGGAAACAAGGTGGATTTAAACCCATCTGAGATTACAAGTTTTAAATACTAGTGTTTTCATTATCATAGTAAGGTTTTGTTTACTATGTCATTGCCTGAATACTGTTGGAATGGCCAAGTTCTTCAGTAAATTGGATAATCCCTTAAAGTCTCATGCCCTTATAGTCTCATGTGAAAATCCCAAGAGTATGCATTGTGTGTCCCTGGGCCTGTGAGGCATCCATCAGGACTGGCTCTTTAAAATGAGCTAATGAGGTTGTTCAACTGGCCCGGGTAATTCTCAAAGATCTTCTCCACTTCGTCGCTGAAAGCGTCACCTGCCGACAGACATTTCACACCATCATCACAATGACCTTCATCACAATCATCATGACCCAAATAAAGCTTTGTTTACCATCACCATTATGCGTACCTGTGTGGTTATAACTGCTTTGGTACGCTGGAAAATGTCCTATTTCCACCGGCACATGCCGGCTGAGCCATCACCGGGCCCTCGTGGTACAGGTGGTTTTCCACTGGCTACTTTCCATGCCGAGTCAGAACCAAACCGTGACACGCTAACCTCACAAGATAACCGCATCTGGCTTGGGGCCAAGCAGGGCCAGGGGAAGGGCTAATGACACGTCGATTTGCATGTCATGTAATTCATATGAGGACATAGCCCTGTACGTCACTGCGTCGTACACGACTCTCGTTTATAGCGTGTGACGTCATTGGCACGGCTTGGGCTCTACAGTAGAAAAAACAAACCTGCCACCTCTGGAGCCCCATCTTGGCTGCTTTGGCACGGCTCGGTTGCACAGTAGAAACGAGGTATACTGTAAGAGCCTTGATATCTGAATAATTATCATAGAATTAGCGCTCTGGCTTTTTTCTATGGTGTTTTTCACTGTTTTTTTTTTAATAGCCAAATGGGTGACGCATTGTAAAACCACGTTTTTCAGTAGCCCGGAATCTGCAGTAACATTGATCGCGATGTCATGATGTCTATGCCTACTTAGCATATGTGGCTTGCTTGTCTAGTGTTCTTAAGTTTTGCCAGTAATTTTTCCAGTTGGGTTTTTTGTTGTGCTTAAATTTAGAAACAATTATATGTAATCAAGACAGTTTGACGTCATTTTGATTGTAAGAATCTGCTGCAAGTGATGTAATGCATTTAATATATTACGACAAACTTGTTTAATGTTAAATTCGGCTTGTGTGCATACGCACACAACCGAATTTGATCTCGTGCTATGCTCACTCAGGCTTGCAAGAACGGGTTCTCAGTTGTACTTGTGACAATGATGTATCTTTATTATAATAATTATCACAATCATTAAAATCACCATCATCTTTTGGCATTCTCTGGCCTGACACTGGTGTGACTAGGCCCTAAAGAAGGCCATCTCTGGTGTAGACCAAGGAGTCTCAAAGACATTGTATAATTATCAGAGCATGTTTGTTTGCATGTTCACCACAAGTACGTGTGGTTAATGCAGACTTGATTAATGCAAAGGGTATCTATTTGGTGTTCGAACATCTTAACACCTTTTTTTCTGATTTAAAGCTTTCGTGACTGCAGGGATTCATCTTCTTGGCTCTTTCGGTAAAGTCACGTAGAAGGGAAATAATAAAATAAAATAATAAATAATATATTAAAATAATAAAATTATATAATCCCTTCTACGTGACTTTATCGAAAGAACCAAGAAGATGAATCTTAACACCTGTTTTATTGCCAGAAAGGGTAAAATCTATTCTTATTTTTCACACTTTGATACTGCCAAAAAAGGTCCCATGATATTGTTTGCTTTAAAGATGTTTTTTGCCATGGCTGGACGTATTAATTCATTCTTTTAAATCTCAGTAAACAGCCATCGGACGTCAGCGTACTGTAATCGGTGTCGTAAGTATGACCAAAGTGACAATGCGTGGGGACCCACCGACATGACAGTTGTACATCCATATCCTGTGTCCGTCATACTTGCAGTTGCACTTCATTGCATTGTTGGTGAAGTCCGTCTCGGCCACTTCGTAGTTGGGGTTAAGAACAACCTGCCAACAAGAAGAAATACAGGGTGCTTCACAAAATTGTTAACACTTACATGGGACTATCGTTTTTAATGTGAAAAGAAGGGATAATTCACTGTAACATGACAACAAATGTCATGTTAATAGCTTCAAAAAGTCATAGAGTCTCCACTTGTTCGTCATCATTGTCAACACGTGGCCTGGAATCTTCTCCAGGTGGTCTCCAGAGCCCGGAGGCACATTTCTTGTGGTTTGTTGCAAATTCTCAGAAGTGTTGAACATTTTTGAAGCACCCTGAACAACGCACAAAGCCCTTTTAGAAAGAAGACCCGGAAAAACCCTCAACCGTTTCTTACATAAATTGGTTCTCGCCCTCTACGGCATCGGGCAGTCACGTAACTTACAAAACACATTCCTGCGGAGGGAGCTGGTAGGAACGTTGGGTTGCTCGGTCAATGGCCAGGGTCAACGGCGGCGTGGTGTATTCCGCAAATATGCCCGACTGTGAGGGCGGGCATAAGTCGGCGTGAGTAGGTTGAGTTTCATAAGGGCACCACGGGGTGACCAGCCCCTCCCCACCCAGCCCCACCCCTCCCACCCCCCACCCAGCCTCACCCTCCTCACCCAGCCCCTCCCCACCCTCCCCTCCCCACCCAGCCCCACCCTCCCCTCTCCACCCAGCCCCACCCCTGTCATTTTTGGATGCACGACGGACGGACACAATAATCCCCTGGTGGAACCAGGTGGTTCCTACCAGTATAATGATGGCTGTTCCTGAATACGGCACACACGCTGTTGCACCAGCTATCACGTCAGTAGCGTAACGAGCGTGGGAGCAGGGGGTGCCAAAGCTCCAAGTTGGGGCCCCTTGACAGCCACCACGAGATATGTGCTCAGCAACAGTGTGGGAGAAGAAAAGAAAACGTATGTCACGATGTGATTAGGCAAGAGGAGCCGCCGGTATATAATAGCCGTGGTGCCACCGTGCGAGGCAAATCATAACACTGTGGGCTCATCTGACCGACTGCCGCACCCCCCTGAGCTAACAATTCACAGTCGTCACGCCACTCTATCACGCGCTTGGCACAAAAAAGCAGAATAAACAGGTTTTGAAAAGGGGTTGCGCAATAAAGAGAGGACCTCTGAATGCCAACGCCTTTGGTTATGACAATTCTTTGCACGCTGCTGCCAGTCCACCTAGTGGGCGAAAATGAGATGTCTCCGTTTCTTTCTTTAACGCGACAACTTAAAAGAAAAACACGGCTCGGCACACTACGACCAAAATTTGGCATACAAACACAAATTTGGAATGCAAACACAAATCGCCACGGTACAATGGCACGCATCTGACACAAATACGAAAATAAAACGTAGCTCAAAGCGGGCACAAGGACTGGGATTTTAGAAGTTTGGTTTAAAAAAAAACCCAACTAAAGCCCATTCCTACAGCGAAGATAAACATTCATCATCATCAGCCTTGATCGATCCACTGCTGGGCGAAGTCATCCCCAAGCCATCACCATCTATCAAGATGTGTTTACAACACTCCATCGAGCTCCTCCACACGGGCCGATCTCATCGCTCCACCTCTGCGATGGACGTCCTCCCAGGCACGGTCCCTCCATTATACTGGTCATCTGTGGAAAGAGCTTCATAGCTGATCGGATTCCTCCAGGATGAATAAAGATTCTGATCCTGAGCATTTGGCTGCCGCTCCATTGCCTATCAACCAAATGTCATCATCCTTTATGGCAACGTGTCCTGCCCAGAGTTCAGTAACTTTGTTTTTCTCTATGGCCGAAAATGTGATGTCTTCGACTTGCATATGTTCTCCTGGCCATGTGCTCCTCTTTCCGTCTCTCGGGGTAGTTCTAAGCATGGACGGGACAATGCTCTGAGATTTTTCGATTTAAAGCTTTCGTGACTGCAGGTATTCATCTTCTTGGTTCTTTCGGTAAATTCACGTAGAATGGAAGTAATAAAATAATAAAAAAAACATTATAAAATAACTCTCACGACGTTTCGGCCACAACGCAAGCAGCCGTCCTCAGGTGAAAGCAGGTCTGTCGAGGCGACAGCGTCTGAATGAAACAGCACACGTGCTTGGAGCATATATATAAGCTAGGTTGGAAGGGGGGGGGGAAAGGGCGCCTTGACAAAATAATTTGCATATCAAGAGGAATTTAGCATATTTATGGCAAATGCAGGTATGTGATTAGTACTACTTATGTCCGTGCATTATGCAGGATTAGCAGCATCAAAGGGAGGGGATATGGGAAATGCAGGTATGTGATTAGTACTACTTATGCCCGTGCATTATGCAGGATTAGCAGCATCCAGGGAGGGGATATGGGAAATGCAGGTATGTGATTAGTACTACTTATGCCCGTGCATTATTCACTGTCGCTCGGTGCACGGGAATTGTGCGCACGACGACTCGTGCGTGTGCTTTGCCACAATAGAGGTTTGGCAATTGAAGGGTTTAATATCCGCAACTGGCCCAGATGCACATGTCACTCCATCAGCCTGCCAACAGAGTGCCTCCTCTGCGTAACACTCCGGGCATCCGCGTGGCAGCAGAAATAAAGGTGGGTTGACTTTAGACTGTGATGTCTTTTGGGAATGGTGTCATACACACATCACCATGGCAACTCCACGGCGAATCCTCAGACCGAAATGCTACCGCAGTCAACATCTTGCATGTGATTTCGAATTAAAGCTTCTTCTTGGTTCTTGTAGAATGGAAATAATAAAATAATAAAAATAAAACATAATAAAATAATTCTCAGAAGTAAAATAATAATTCTGAGAATGATTTATTATGTTTTATTTTTATTATTTTATTATTTCCATTCTACGTGACTTTACCGAAAGAACCAAGAAGATCTTGCATGTGAGTCGCACGTACGTTCATATGCGATGCATTCAAATATGAATCACTTTCATAATTAAAACACGATTTTTTTTAAGTTAAAAAGCCAATTTGAAGGCCAGACGTGATACTCCCCATAGATTTCTTCTGTTGTACTCGATCCGGAATCAAATAACACTGCAATGTTTTCCCTCACTTGAATCTCTTTAATCGCTTGTAAATCTACGTGTTTGGTTGTTTTGTTGGAGTGACACTGAAGCGTTGGTATAAGTCAATTGTCATCAGTTATCTGATACACAACTTACCTATACAATGGTGACTGTGCCCAGTTTTATTACTGTCACGGTGTTCGCACCAAGAGGGCTGGCTACAACGTGCGGGGAGGCCTTCATCTAGCAGTGGATAGACCACAGCTGCTGCTGCTGATGGTGGTGGTGGTGTGGAAACAATCTATAAATCACGAGCCATAGTATTCAACATTTGTTCGGACGGCGCAACAGCGCCTGATTGTCAGTACCGTGCTGAATGTCAAAGTGGAACGGAAATCGATCATTTTTGAGTGAGCGGCCAGTTTTGATTTCACACCAATTGTGTGGTACTGGCAGCGCCGAGTTTTAAATTACACGTGGCACACATTTATACGGCATATGGACAACAGGGTAGATCAATGAACCTTATTTAAACCAAGTGAGTTTCCATTGAGATATCAACGTCTGATTTACAAAATGAGGCCTGGGAGGAATTCATGTATGTATGCATGTACCTGGTGCAAAGGTACACATTTTGCATGAAAGGGAAAAACAACACCCATGCAAAAAAGATATACACACCCATGTAGGCATTGGGAGCATATGTGCATGTCATGTAGGTTATAGGCGTAGGTGGGGAATGGTAGTTTAGTGGTTAGCGCACTGCACTACGAACCCAGCGACACGGGTTAGAGTCCCCCTCACGGCCAACATCGGTGGCGAATATCTGGACTGGTCCCGGTCCTCCCCTAGGTCGACTCAGCATCGAATGGTTTATAAACACATCAGCGTTCGGGGAGACAAAGGGGGACAGACGCGGCGCCCGCCACTCACCTCCTCGTCGTGCCGTGCTGGGCCGAATCGGTGCTCGTTAGCAGCACCTGCCCCAAGAGTCTGTTCAACGTATTCTTTGGGTCTTTCGGTAAAGTCGTCACGTAGATCGGTTCAAAGAAATAACAAAACCCTACGACGTTTCGATCACAACACAAGCGATCGTCATCCTGATGACGATCGCTTGTGGTGTGATCGATAACGATCGCTTGTGGTGTGATCGAAACGTCGTAGGGTTTGTTATTTCTTTGAACCGATCTACGTGACGACTTACGACGTTTTGATCACACCACAAGCGATTGTCATCCTGATGACGATCGCTTGTGGTGTGATCGATAACGATCGCTTGTGGTGTGATCGAAACGTCGTAGGTTTGTTATTTCTTTGAACCGATCTACGTGACGACTTACGACGTTTTGATCACACACAAGCGATCGTCATCCTGATGACGATCGCTTGTGGTGTGATAGAAACGTCGTAGTTTTTGTTACTTCTTTGTTATTTTCTTTGAACCTATCTAGGTGATTTTACCGAAAGACCCAAATAATATGAATTTCTACAGTCACGAAAGCTTTAAGTCAAGATGTAGTCTGTTAAAAGGCTTATGGGGATGTGGGGGGGGTATGCAGTGTTTTTTTTTGGTTTGTATGTGTCGGATGAAAACACAAGTGTGGCAGTGCACGTGCAGGTGCTGGGTACGTACACGGATGTTGTCCAGGCTGCGCGTGTACGGGGCAGGATGTTCCGTCTCGGGGTGCGTGTACCTGGAAAATGTAGTTTCCAGGCTTGAGGTCGGTGACATCCACCCACTGGCAGTCGATGTCGTGCCGGTAGGTGTCGTGGCAGTTCACCGTGATGCCTTGCTCACCAAAGTTGGCACACTCGTACACCTTCTGTCCTCCTGCAGGTGGCGGCAGTCACACGCAATCGCTCAAGGCGTTGGGTCTATTTGTGGTTGCGCGGTCTTTCATGGAGGGCGACAATTCATCCTGAGAGCGCTTTTAATTGCACGGCAGTTTGAGCTGCACCACTCTGAGCTTGGCTCCGCGCCTCTGAGTTGCGGCCACTACGTCCGCAAATTTGCGCGCGTTATAAATTTAACTATTATTATTATTAAAATGTTCGCACCGTATTCCTTTACACGCGTTTCGTGTTTCTTTTCTTCTGCTCTCAAACCGAGACGCTGCGGTAGTGCATAAGAGAAGCTTTGGATATAATCACGGCCGAGATGATGGCAAATATCTCGGGCTCTAAAATCTAGAACTCGTGTCCGTCGATGATTGCCATTGTGGACATGCCGATGTTTCTAAAGAGATCAAAATGCGTGTGATAAGATCTTCACGCAGCCGCCTACGTAGCTTTGTTGATCGGGCTCAAACCACTAACTAAATTAGACAAATTATTTGGTGAAAATGCATTGGCAATGATGCAAACACCACAAGTAACATTGCCCAAAGTGTCGCCTTTCGTATAGTTTTTCCTTTTAAGGAATGAGTGCAGGTTTTATTTGGATATGACAACATAATAAATGTATACCCTGTATTATGACAGCATGGGTACTTTGATAATTATTTTAAATTATGATCATTTCGTCATGATCAACGCAGACGCATGTATCGTTTATAGTGCAACGTGGTAAGGTTTGGTTATGGAACAAAAAATAGAAATGCTTTTTTTGATTGAGCTTTGAGGTATCAACTTCTTTACAGTACGTCGCTCATGCAAATGGCGTCAAAGTAAAGTGGTGCCAACATTTTTTTTGTATATTGAATGAGTACAAAACTAAATACATTTAAATTGACTCAATAAACCAAAAAAATATACAATGATATTAATAGAATAAAACCGCTTTTAAAATTAAAAAAATTCAGCAGCAATGCATAAACCATCTGTTCGAGTGGAAAGAGGCTTTGAGAAGGTCGCATTTAAACATCCATATTAATTCGAGGCATGACCCATTTAAGCAAAACAACATGAATACAAAACAACGTAACTAATTTTGTCCACACACTCAGATACTAGATATCGTATTCACGTTCAACCGAGCGGGGAGGCTGGGATCCGTGCAGTGTAGGGTGGTGCACCTTCTTCATGGTTCTTTCGGTAAAGTCACGTAGAATGGAAATAATAAAATAAAATAAATAAAACATAATAAAATAATTCTCACGACGTTTCGGCCACAACGCAAGCAGACGTCCTCAGGTGGAGAACAGGTCTGTCGAGGAGACAGAGTCTGAATGACAAGCTCCAGGCTTGGAGGACTATTTAAGCTGGGATCGAGGGGCGAAGAGCGCCTTGACAAAACAATTTGCATATCAAGAGGAATTTAGCAAATTTATGTGAAATGCAGATATGCGATTATTACTACTTGTGAAATGCGTAGGAGGTTTGGCGAGGGGTTAAAGTCATTATGCCCGTGCATTATGCAGGATTAGCAGCATCAAAGGGAGGGATAGGGGTAGCATGAATAAAGGTGCACCTTCTTGGCAGTCGGTATCCTCCAAACAGAAGCTGGCCTTGTGCCCTTCTGCAACCTTGGTGCCGTTTGTACTCAGAATGTCATAGTGGGTGAACACCTCCATGCTGTGGTAGTGGCTGCGAGAAGGCGACAACACAACCTGTTACAAGTCAGTCAGTGGGAGGGGGGGGGGTTATTTAAAGCTTTCGTGACTGCAGGGATTCATCTTCTTGGTTCTTTCGGTAAAGTCGCGTAGAAGGGAAGTAGTAAAATAATAAAAATAAAACATAATAAAATTATGTTTTATTATAAAATAATAAAAATAAAACATAATAAAATTATGTTTTATTTTTATTATTTTATTACTTCCCTTCTACGTGACTTTACCGAAAGAACCAAGAAGATGGGGAGGGGGGGTTGTTGAGAGAATGCACCAGACAATTACGCAGCGGCATCGCCACAAACTCATCATCCGGTGGTCGGCCCTGGGTTTGTATTCAGTATGGAGCTGTGTTGCTGCGGGCAGCAGAATCAGGATCGCACGGTAAGGGGCATACTTTATCACGGGTTTGTTCTAGAAGTGGTGTGAGGCTGCGCTTTTCTACAGATAGTAAGTTAGTCGTGTCGTTTGGATGGGACTTGACACTCGAACTAAAGTTTGAACCCTCACCTTCAGCACATTGAATTACGTGAAGGCTTCTGCTTGGAAAGGAGCGCAGCACAGCAGACATACAGAAGAGACATGTGACGTAGCTATGGAAGATGTGGAGAGCCATATATCGGCAA